TCTGGGCCACAGCGTGATGCTTATTGCTCTCTGGCCCTGTGATGCTCACGGTCTCAGGTTGACAGCAGCCCAGCATCAACGGAGGGGTTAAAGGAGCTCCCGCTCCACCTCTCCGGGGATTATGGATCGTATTTACTTGTAAAGTGCTTGGCAGTTCTTGGAAGCAAAGCACACCGTGGGATTTGTAAGTAATGTCATGGGACTGATATAAAATACAGCATGGAAAAACCCGTAACACAGCTCATTCCCTCATCTGAGGGACACACTGTGACTCCAGCGAGTGAGCACGTAGTGATACCGAGTCTCTCAAATCAAGATTTTGGGTTGCTGATGAGTAAAATGAGGTGCTTAGCCTTGCTAGGAGATCCCGCCGTGCAGCAGCTTAAAGGATCTCCTTGTCAGAAGGTAGAAGCTAAGCACTTTGTAAACACTTCTGAAAATCCTGACCTTACGGTATCCCCTCGGTGGAAGAATCCTATAGCGGTGTTTACGTGCTCTTGGCAATGCAGCGTTGCTCTCCCAGTTCAAAGTACTCCGTGATGTGGAGGGGAATTCCTCCGGCATCCACACGTACCCTTGGCCATGAATCGTTTGTTTGCAATAAGCAACCAAGGTCTGTGCTTGCTGATGGTGGTGAAGATAACAGCACGGCTTGCTTGCATTTGTTCCCCTTCAATTTTAGGTGATCAGAACGGATCAGTAACCCAGAAAACTGTCTTCCCCAAGAATTAGGCGTGCATTTTTTTCCTGTGCATTATTTTCTTTTTCTGTGCATATAGTTTTTTCTGTGCATGCATGATTTTCTGTGCATGCATGATTTTCTGCGCATGCATTTTCTGCAAGCATTTCATAAATCCAAGTGTTTTCAAGTCATTTTCATAGAGCCTTCCGTATGTAGTTTTCAGTGCATCTTGAATCGCTCGTTGAAAACAGGTTTCAGCTGCTTTTTGTTGGCCTCATATGATCTAATAAAACGTGAATCCATTTAGCTCACAGGCATTATTTTGTACCCTGACATCCAAAATGCTGGCTCATGACTACCTGATTTTACAGAAGTTTCCCCTCCCGATAAGTGCGTGCTGCATTTTGAAGGTCTTATGCTGCCTGAAGCACATGAGACCCCCGTGCCCCAGAGATGTGGTGGCTCAGCAGGTTGCAAGCACAGAGTTAATGGCTTAGCATCTCTGAGAGGGCTGGGGATGGGACATGGGCAGGAGTAAGAGTAGGCACAAGCTTGAAAAATGGATCAACCATAGCCAGTATTTCCTTAAATCCAATATATACCCTCCTGCCTCGTGCTGCACGTTGGTCATTGCAGGTTATTTCTCCGCTGGTGGGTTTTTATAACCTGAACAAGGCGGTCTGCCAAAATCCTGTATCAGATGGTTCCTCCCAGAAAGACTGCGTCAAGAGGTGAGCTCAGGTGATGGGAGATGCAGAAAAGCGGCTCACTGAGTTCAAATCACAGAGAACTAAAAGATTACCAAACAAAAGTGTCCATATTCCTGGGGAGACCTGTGTTTTTTAAACGCTTTAAATAGTTTTGAAAGCAAAGTGATGGGTTTCAGATGCAACTGCAATTTTATTTCTTTTCTTGAAAAGGAGGAGCCTCTGCGGCGTGAGGGAGGGATGGTTAACATACCACATTTTGGGACTTTATTGAATTAAAAGCAGCAAATCTTTCCCCGAGCAGAAAACCACACATTTTTCTAGTTGTTTGCTGCAACAGCAAACAACCTTTTAACCCCATTCCCAGGGCAGTAAAACAATTTTGCGGGACTGGAGCTACAGAAGGGCAAAAAAAGCATTTTGCTTGGCTTTCCTCCTCCTGGGGAATTAGTCCATATTTTCTATTCATCAGTCATTGGAGGTTTTCTTCTGAGCCTCATGATCTGAACCCACTAAGTAAAGCAAATCCAGATTAGAGCCTCTCGCAACAGAAATACTGGAGAGATCATGAGGGAAGTGGTCAGAGGAAGAGACGGGCAGAGGAATACCAAATCACTACACTTTTATTTTTTACCCTCTTTTCCAATTTGGAATTTCCACAGAAGTCCCAAAAAGGCTGAAATTGGAAATTTCTGCAAGACAGGCAATGAATTTATCACTTCTCTTGGCGCTTGTTTCTCAAATCAAAGCCAGTCACAGAAGTAGGGAGTGGACATGCTGGAAGGAAACATACCACGTCATTTTAGGTTTAAATGGTCCTTATTTTGAAGCGACAGCTTGGATGTCCCCCAGTCCTAGCATTCGTGCCTCCAACTAAGCCAGTTCCGAGCTAGAGAGTCCAAACTCAAACGTAGCTTGGTTTGACCGGCTGATCCGGGCACTCCTCTTTTCTTAAGGTTTCTCCTGCCTTGTGTTGCATCGGAGGAGTTTTAATCCTCCAGACAGCTCTGCACGAGACTGAAATAGCACAAAAGCTTCTCGTCTTACGGCGTTTCACTCGGAAACAGCTCTGGCCTCTTGAGAAGATGAGACCTCTCATCGCGCTGAACCCCCTGAATAGCCCCGGCTGCAAGGACACCTATGAATTATTATTCTTAATGTTATATTTAACACAAGCCCAGGCACTGACCTCTCCTGGGTTATACAGGTCCCTGAGGGATCGAGGACATGTTCCAGTCTGTGAGATAAAACTGACCTCGAAGGAAGCCAACTATATATAGCCAATGCCCTCCTCTGACCCCTCTTCTCCAGCACGGCTGTCTTCCTTTGCCTCCGGGTCTTGCATGCCCTTGACCACCCCATCAGCCCTCAGACAGCTCCAGCATCCTCCTCCCCATTCCTCCCTGGGACTTTTTCCCGACCACCTGTTTTCTGCCTTTTCTCTCTTTCAGGATGGCATCACTGGTCAGGAAGTTGATGGACCATCCCACCTCCCAAGTAGGTATGTCTCTGGCGTCGGAGGCATCACCACGCCAGGTCCCCAAAGGGGAAGACTGAGGCCTCCAATGGACAACAGGGGAGCACACCTTCTAATGCGGTTTCTCCATCAGGTTGGGGCAGAGTCACGTCACTCCCACAGACACAACCCCTCTTGTCTGTACCAACACTTGCCATCCTTGTCCATCCCGTGGACTGGACCTTGCGTCCTGCTCCCTCCCCATTTCCTACATCCCCACAATGTCACCGCATCCAACCACCCATCCGACATCTCCCCAAATCCTCTCCCTCGCGCACTGATTTCCACCCCAACAGCAGCACCTTTGCTCCTCTTCCCATTGCATCAAGATCTCAGCTCCTTGCCCTCACCCCTAGAGACCTCCCCCATCCCCACAGCACCCTGTGCTGTGTCCCTAGGGACATCCCCATCGCTCCCCTCCAGCACTGATGCCCATCAGGATGTTTGCAGAAGGTCATGGCGACGTTCCTGGGATCTGCGGGTGCCACAGCCAATAGCAGGGAAGGCAGAGGAAAGGATAGGAAAAAACAACTGGAGTTATGGTAAAGCTTGGATGGTGATGAGCACCAAAAGAAAAGTGTGGGAGAGAATTATTTTTATTTTCCTGGTGCATAAATCTTCCTCCTGCTTAGGCACCTCTGTCCTTAATTAAGGACAAAAGAAAAAGTCTATTAATAGAAAGCAAGCAAGAAATCATAGCAGGTGACCTGCTTTATTTGAGTGGATTAAGTGTGGGATTACAGGAGTGTTTAGAAATGTCGATAAGGACTCCATCAAATTCTTCCCTGTTGCTGCTTGTTTTCAGGGAGTAGGAGGGATTTTGCAGCGGGTCGTTCAGATGATGAATCCAGTGGAGTAATTTGATCAGGGCAGGAGGAAAGGGAAAAGAAAACAAAACACAATGATGGCCCTGGTATTGTCAGTTTAGAAACGGTTCTGTCTGTTTTCCTTGGTAAATGCAATTCTTGCAGCTGCAGTGACAAAAATCCCGGGTGCAATGAAGTGCATGTGCTCTGCAGAATTTCTGGTGGCTCCTTGCAGGTGGGGAACGGGACGTGGGCAAGAGAGAGAGAAACGAAGGGAGAGAGAGAAGGCGGCGATGGTATAAGGGCTCTATAGGGGCGATGTAAAGCTGATCTGAGCAGATGGCTTCCAGCCACCTAAAACTTCCACGTCGTGAAATCCCATTAAGTGCAGAGTTTAATAAAGTTCTGGATATCAAGAAGAAGCAGCTATTTAAAGCCTTGATCACCTGCCAAACGTGGCTTTATGAGCCATATTTCCTGCCCCAGATCACTTCTCTCTTCTCTCATCTCCTGGCCGTGCTTCCCCCTCTGGCCTCCTTTGTAAAATGAAATGCCCAGTGACAGTGCTGCCATAGCTGGTGCCCAGTCCAAGGTGTTCCCATGCAGGGGTGTCCGGGGTTAAATTAATAAAATTATAAGCAGGACTCCTGGAGTCCAGGTAGGGTGAACCCTCTGGATGAGCCCTTGCCCTTTATAAAGGTTTTATTTCTTTCGCCCCAGTGGGGTACGGCGTCGTGTTGGTACCGGGGGTGCGCGGCGCCGTGCTGGGAGTATGAGCTTTCTGATAAACAGTGTTTCAGGTGGAGAGGAAAGAGCCTGGAGCAATTAAAGACATGAAGAGCACCAAGCAAACAATGATCATTTGCTGATCTAGACAAATTATAATTTAAAAAACATACGCATTCAGCAGAAATTATGGCTCATCATCCCATTTCTGAATGAAAATAATGCAAAGGAAGCGTTCAATAATTCATCTTTGCCTGGAAATATCTTGAAAAACTGGCCTCCAAGCCAAACTGGGAAGTGTGAGTTTTCTGTTGGGGGCTTTCAACAGTGCTGGGTTGGTGAGATATTTTTTTTTCTTTTCCCTTCTTCTTTATTTGTCCTGCAGGGAGAAAAAATGAAAACTGTGGCCCTAAACCCATGCAAATGCTGGGAAAATCAAGTCCTTCTCCCTGCACTGTACGCACCACATGTTAACTGTGACTAAGGTGAGGTTGTGAAATAGTTCCAGAGATGGGGAAAAACTTGAAGCTTGATCTCCATGGTTTCACCTCGCTTGAGGAGCTCTATATAAATTCCAGGTGTCTGTCTTCTGGGATGTTATATTTAGCTTTGTGCTCCTCAAAGAGCTTGCACAATTCATTTAGGTATTGCTGATGGACTTGATCAACCTCTTCCTCAGAGGGTCTGTGCTTCCTCTGCACTGGAATTGGCTTCCCAACTGGAAAGCAAGCACAGGCGTTAGGAGGAGCCAGTGTCATACCCCAGTTCAAATCTGGTCTTGGTTGTCTTATACTCTAAAAATAAATTGAAAAAAACAACTGTGCTCTGTAGCTGGAAACAGATGATCAAATGGTCCCATCTGGCCATGGTATGTTTGACGAGATCTTAACAACCTCCTCATCTAGTATCCTGCATCAGACAGTATATTTGCCCTGAGACGATTTATCTCAGGGAAAAGTGAAAGAAGGACCTATGAGGCTGGGGACTGAAGCAAGGGAAAAATAATTCCTTCCTGACTCAGCAGTGAGCTCACACCTTAGTGCAGAAGAAGGTAACCTTATCCCTAAAATTCACTGAAGTGGCGACAAATTAATCTCATTTAGCTTTATTCATAAAGGTAACTGTCCATACTTTGTCTATAGTAAACAGAGGATGACAAATAACTACAGAGGTTGATGAAAGACCCTCTGGAAATATTCCATTCTCTCTATTGTGTCAGCCAGTGTCAGGTCCCTCTGGACACTTCACACTTCTTAGCACAGCGCTGGGGTCCACCTCTCCAGCGGTGGAGAGGCGCGGTGGATGGGTTCATACGACCAGTCATGTCCTGGGGTTTGGGAGGCAGCACAGCCCGGGAGGTAGGGAGATGGAGGTTCAGATCCTGGCCTCCTAGGTCACATTGCTCCCTGCCTCAGTTTCCCCATCTGCAAAGTTGGTTAATGCCAAAGACCCTCTGTGTAGCTCTTTGAAGTAAAAAGTACCGCATCCCAAGGCAGTCCCTACAGCTGCTCCTAACATCTCAGATGTGCTGCAGGCAAAGACAACATCATCCTAATATTTGGGTTGGGCTTTCCAAGCTGTTCCCACATGGCCCTGGGAAACTGCATTGCAAATGGGGAAACTGAGGCACGGGGGAGCCCAAGGCTATGTAAATACACAAGCGATTGGGGTTCTTCCACTTTGCTCAGATCAAAGCCTCAGTGAAACATCTGATTTTTACTAGGAAGCAAGTACCCACTTATCTTTAGAAAATCATGCTTTTTTCAAGGGCAAATCTAAATAATTTTATTCCCAGCACTAGAAGAAGCCCCCTCCCATCTCCCAGAGCAACCAGCAGCAGGACCAGGTGCTTGCAGGGGACAGGGAAGTGCATGAGATACCTCTCTTGCTCTGGTCTTTTACTCAAATTGTGTTTGTCAAGTGACAGAGGGTTTCATCATCGTGTAACGCTGCTCCTCATCGGACTAATGAAGAGCCCTTGTGATACTGCACAGCTCATAAACCCATTGAGACAATCCAAACAGGTTGTAAAACAATTAGAAGTAATTGCTGGCTGCCAAACCTAATCAGTGGGGTGAGCTCTGACCTTTCCAAACAGCCTCTTTAATTAGACTAATTCACAGAGCATCAGTCATGCCAGTGGGCCAAGCATGGAGTTGTTGAAACCAGGCAAAACTTCTTCAAAACCAAAGACTTTCTTGAAATTTGGTCTCCTGTGGGCATGGTCTCAAGTAGAAACAGCGTGACTTGCTCACGTGCAAATAGGTTGGGTTTGGTGGCTGTCTGCACGGGACACTGAGCAAACCTGCAAACCGTGTAGGTCTTGTCCTACTTGCGTTTGTGAAATTAGCTTTAACCCAACGCTACTGCAGAGGTTTGTACCATCGGGTTGCGCTGGGGTTGGGGTTGGCTGCATCCCACAGGGGTGATGGGGTGGCCATGCTTGCTCTGCGGCTTTCTCAGCACAGCCCAGATGACCTGGGCTCTGCCGTAAGACCAAGCCAGGGTCCCAAACTAGCGTGACACGTGAGCAGTTGGGGATGCTCCTTTGCCAGCACATTTCTAGCCCACCACATCTCGTGCTCTCTGGCATGATGCTCCAGCCCGGCAGGAGGATGACACAACCCAGGGACCATCCCTGCTCCCCCCTTTGGCCAGGGTGAGTGTGGCCGGCATCGTGCCGGCGTGCTGAGGAAGGACTTACCCACGGTGCAGATGGGCCGCCGGTAGGGTACCAGCCCGAAACTGTACTGGAAGATGCCTCGCGCGTAGAAGATGGGAAGGGAGATGCCCATGATCTGCTGGAGCCGGTGCTGGAGCTGCCGCAGCCAGGAGCCCTTGGGGTTTCTCACCTGCTCGAAGAGGTCGTTCTCCCCAAAGGAAAAGATGGGAACCAGAGGGGTGCTGTGGGGTGCCAAACCCAATGTAGGGGCATGAAGATTAGCAAAGCCCACCCCAAAACACCTTCCCCACTCTCCAAAATC